GGTTGCAGTGATCTCACTCCGTCTCATTAAAAAAAAAAAGTTATAAATATTTCTCAAATAATTAAAAATAAAATTATTATCAAATACAGCAATCCCATTTATAAATCTATATCCAAAATACGCAACACAGAACCTGGAAGACATATGTCAACATCCATGTTTATTGTACCAGTATTCACAAAAGCAAAAAAACTGAAGCAACCCAGATATCTCCTTGATTTATAAACACATCAAAAAATGTAACATATACACGCAATGAAATATTATTCAGCCTTAAAAAAACTTCTTACATTTTAAGATAAACTTTGAAAATACTGTGTCACCTGAAATAAGCCAGTAACAAAATGATGAATACTATGATTCCACTTATATGAGATATTTTAAGTAGTCACACTTATAAAAAAAAAAAAGTAGAAAGGTGTTTGTCAAGGGCTCCACAGAGGGTAAAATGGGTTGTTGTTACTTAATGGGTATTGAGTTTTAATTTCACAAGATGTTAAAATTTTAGAAGTCTTTTGCATAACAATGTGAATAGACTGAAGATGCCTGAAATGTAGACTTTTTTCAGACAGGGTCTCACTCTGTCACCCAAGCTGGAGTGCAGTGGCACAATTATGGTTCACATTAGTCTCAAACTCTCAGTCTCAAGTAATCCTCGCTTCTCAATCTGCCAAGTAGCTGGGACCACAGGTGCATACCAACATGCCTGGCCATTTTTAACATTTTTTTTGTGGAGAGAAAATCTTTATATCTTTCCCAGGCTGGTCTCAACATTTTGGGCTCAAGAGATTCTCCTGCCTTGGCCTCCCAAAATGTGAGAATTACAGATGTGAGCCACCACTATGCCTAGGCCTGAAATGTACACTTCAACAGATTTAAGATGGTAAATTTTACATGTTTTTACAACAAATTTTTTAAAAGAAAAATGAAAAACTACAGAATTATAAATCTTTTCAAAAATTACCTTCAAATCACAAAACTGCTTCTCTTACACAAAGGAAACAAATGTTCATCATTAAACACATGGTGAAAATAAGACTATTTCCATGACTACTCACTGAGACAAGATAAAACAACCATTGAAAATCAGCTAAGAACATACATAAGTTATAACCAAAATTGGGGTTATATTTATAGATAAACATACACAGATATATAATCTGATTGTGATAGATGTATGGCTAATTTATCTAATTAAACCCCACATTGACTTAAAATGTACAAACAGAATTGCTCATTGTCTAAAATTATAATACCTAAGTAAAACAAAAAAAAACAATAAACCAATGTTAAGAAACCCTACACTGTCGGGCTAGTGGCTCAAGCCTGTAATCCCAGCACTTTGGGAGGCCGAGAGGGCGGATCACGAGGTCAGAAGATCGAGACCATCCTGGCTAACACGGTGAAACCTCTTCTCTACTAAAAATAGAAAAAACTAGCCGGGCGAGAGGTGGCGGCGGCGCCTGTAGTCCCAGCTACTCGGGAGGCTGAGGCAGGAGAAATGCTGAAACGCCGGGAGGCAGAGCTTGCAGTGAGCCGAGATCGCGCCACTGCAATCCAGCCTGGGCGACAGAGCCAGACTCCATCTCAAAAAAATAAATAAATAAAGAAACCTACACTGAAGACACACACTATAACAGAAATGCTTATTCATAAAATCTGTAATGCAACATTGATGTAAAATTCAAAAAATTTGTCTGGATAACTACAATGTTTGGCTGTAACTGTGTACTCAGGGAAGGCATTTTGAGTCATTGGCATAAACCGTATAACAGCAAAATTTCAGAGAATGCAGAATAATCATAAATAGAAGATTCTAATGATAAACTTTTTTTTTTTTTTTTTTTTGAGACAGAGTCTCGCTCTGTCACCAGGCTGGAGTGTAGTGTTGTGATCTCAGCTCACTGCAACTTTTGCCTCCTGGGTTCAAGTGATTCTCCTGCCTCAGCCTCCCAAGAAGCTAGGACTACAGGTGTGCACCACCACGTCCAGCTACTTTTTGTATTTTTAGTAGAGACAGGGTTTCACCATGTTGGCCAGGATGGTCTCAATCTCTTGACCTCATGATCTACCCGCCTTGGCCTCCCAAAGTGGTAGGATGACAGGAGTAAGCCACTGCGCCTGGCCAAGAAACTTTTTAATAAATAAGCATTTAAAAGAAACTAGAGTTGATTTTTGTGTTTTAAATATATGCTATTCTTACACAAAATGAAGCTGTTGTAATCCAACTTTAAAAGTAAGTAGTCTTACATCTTTATATATATATACACACACACACACACACACACACCCAAAATAGGGTTAGAGCCTCTGATATATATAATAAATATTTGGAAATAAATTATTATTTAGATATAGGTTAAAGAAAGTGGGTACGAATCCTATAATTCTTTTTTTGCCTTCAGGAAACTTAAATTTATAGGTAACTATTTTAGTAAACATGGAGTGCCTACTAATTATCTAATTTACTTCAAACATAACATATACATTCTAGCATACTGTCCTAAATGTCTGAATCCAAAATCACAGACAAATTTGGAATAGAAAATACAAAGTAAAAACATATAGGGAGAGTGAAATCAGTAAGATGGAGAAATAACAGTTACCCTATTTTCTTATCCCTCCAACAGCAAGAAAATTTCTCAACCATCCCTGACAAAAAAGCTTTTATGAGAGAACCAGGCCTCATGGCTCGAACCTGTAATGACAGCTACACGGTACATTAAGGTTGGAGAATTGCTTCAGGCTAGGATTTCAAGACAAGCCTGGGTTATGTAGCAACACCCCATCTCCAAAATGAATACCTCTGAGAGAGCTTTACCATCCAGTGAGGGAGCTGTGAAACTCTGCTATAGCTCAAAATTGAGGAATGTTTCTCTTCAGAAGGCAGACCCTCATTCCGGTGGCAAACTACAAGACCCCCGTTCTTGGCTACGGACCAGAAAATCGCTCACCTAATTTGGTCGCACTGAGAATTCTACTTACTCTGTAATCATCCCAAACTTTTACCAGCCACAATCTGGGAGAGGTCCTCTTCTTCCAGAGGTCTGGAAGAAGACACTCATTTACAACCACACAACAGGCCTGTAGACGTTGGTCTTTACTGTGTTGTGGTCCCTGAAGCAGTTCAATGACTTAGTTCCAGCTCTCTGAGCCACAGTTCATGGCCAGTTCTGCTTAGATAGATATTCACACAATGACCTGAGGAAATGCTCTCTGGTACTCAGTGAAAGCCATATTCATCTGCATCCCAATGTAAGGCCTACCATATGCAGACCCAACTGCAAAAATCTGTCCTACTGTCTGCCCTGCAGTGCAAAATCCTGAAGGATATTCAGTCTGTCCAAAACTAAAATGGGAATTACAACTACACAAGCCTCTGTAACAAACCAGCTAAAGGTGGACCCAAGTGCAGACCCAGCAGCCTTGTGACGAAGCTAAACCCCTCTCTACTACAAACCCAGAAGACATCCCATCACCCTGGGACCCAACGAAAGATCTTTACCTCCTGAAACCAGTTTATAAAAACTCAAAGAGGTGGTTGCTTCTTCAAATTTACAGACACCAATGTAACATTATATTGTGCCCATTGTCAATGCTTCTATTTTAACATTGCACTGCAAGTATATGGCAGAAGAAAGTCAAAAAAATGATAAATATGTCAATGATGAAGTCATTAAAATTGAAGACAAAAAAAGTAAAAAGTTGCTGTTTGTAGATCATATGATCTCATATTTTAAAAACCATAAACAAGGCCAGGTGCGATGGCTCATGCCTATAATCCCAGCACTTTGGGATGCCGAGGCAGGTGGATCATTTGAGGTCAGGAGTTTAAGACCAGCCTGGCCAACATGGTGAAACCCTGTCTCTACTAAAAATACAAAAATTAGCTGGGTGTGGTGGTACACGCCTGTAATCCCAGCTACTCAGGAGGCTGAGGCAGGAGAATTGCTTGAACCCGGAAAGTGAAGGTTGCACTAAGCCAAGATCACACCACTGTACTCCAGCCTGGGTGACACAGCGAGACTTATTCTCAAAAACAAAAACCATAAACAGTACATTAAAACTTGTCTAAATTAATAAATGCACTCAGTAAATTAGCAAAATATAAAATTAACATACGAGTTATGGTTCCATACATTAAAACAAATTATCTGATAAAATAGAGAAAAAGAAAACAATCTTATTTACAATAGCATTAAGATAGTAAATTTCTGAAAACAAATTTATCCAAGGATGTAAAAAATCTTTACAATTAAAGATACATCAATGAAAGAAATTAGAAAGAACAAATAAATTTAAAAACATTTTATATCTATGGATTGAAAGAATATTGTTAAAATGCCATATTATTCAAAGTGATCTATAGATTCAATAAACTCCCAATCAAAACTTAAGTGGTAGTTTTTTCACAGTAATGAAAAACACGATTCTAAAATGTACATAAAACTACAATAAACTTTGAATAGCCAAAGCAATCTTGAGGAAAAAGAACAAAGCAGAGAAACATCATACTTTAAAATGTCAAACTATATTTCAAGACTATAGTTTTAAAAACAGGATGGAATGTGCAGAAAAATTAAGAACAACAAAAAAAGAACAGAAACCACTACTCACACCTTTCAGATATAATGCAAAAAGAAAACTTAAAAAGTAGTGTAACATAGAGAGTTTCTCAAAATTATGCAGATGTTTGTGTATCTTCCAAACAACGGAAAACTAGTCAGATTGTGCAGTCTCTTATATGCCACGAAGAGGACTTCGGCTCTCACTGTAAGCTTGAAAAAAGATCACTGAGGGGAAAGCAGAATCCATAGAGAATTCAAAAGCATAAGATGGAAGATGCCCCGAAATGAGAGGAAAATTTTAAAAACAACCCAGCTTTATAGAAATTATTTGTTTTGAAACACAGCTTCCCCAAATTACATTTTAAAGACTGGCTTTCTCTTTGACCTTGGGACCTCTCGTCTGTGTTGTTTGTTGTGTTCACTCTCACCTACCCGGGGGTTCATCCACTATCTCATGTTGCTTCATATTCCAGGGCTCTTTTTCTTTTTCCAGACAGGTAATTAGGTCTGGCTTAGAGGCAACAATACCTGTTTTATTAAAAGTAAATAAAATTAATCTTGCCCATATTCTGTAATTGCCAACTTAGTAATGTGTACAATAAAGAGGATGTAATAGAATATTCTAGTAAATTAATCCCAAAATACTAATTTATAACAGAAACTTCTAACTATTTAGAAAACATTTTTAATTTGTAGGTACTTAATTTCACTACCCAGAACTACTGAATCAGAAATTGATGGTGGCAATTAGATTTTAAAGTGTGGGAAACAATATTTTAGGCCACTGAATTTCTGGAATTAACACTAATCCAGAGCTAAGAATGCAGATTAGCTCAGGAATGTGGAAAGTTAATGTCAAAATAAAACACCCTGAAGAAATTGTCTTCTACATGGATAAATCAGCAATATTTTCTTGAAAATGAGAATCTGAAACTCGTTTATGCAAAGCATACTTTACCAAAAAACAATCTACAAAGAACAGAAATAAAACCTTTAGGATATATTAGAAATGGTGTATTGAAGTTATTCTCACCCAGGAAGACCAGGTTTCTGTAGTTCTCTAACATCACATTTTTATATAAATTTTGCTGTGCTTTGTCCAGGCATTGCCACTCCTCCAGAGAGAATTCTATGGCCACATCCATAAATGTCAATGATGGCTGAAAAACATACAAACACACGTATTTACCAACTGGCCACGGGCAGAATTTTTAATTTGACTCAAGGTGAAATGTGAGAGTAAAGAGAACTGGTTCTGACTTATAGGACTGACTAAAATTGTCCAACAAAATGAATTTCCACACAGAAATATTCTGAGAAAATAGAGTGGCATAGGATCCACAACATCAGCGTATAGATGCTGTTTTTCTGGATAACAAAGTATAAAATCAAGGGCATAAACACAAACGTACATTTTTGAGTGCTATATTTACATTCTAAAGAATGAGGTGTGTGTATTTTTCAGATCAAAAAGACATGCTAAGTTAGAAAGTACCTCTTAAATTTTAATGTTATACAGTACACTTGATATCTTTTTAATGCAGATATTTTTTCAGAAGATCTGCAATAAAGTCTGAGTTGCTCATCATTAACGCCAATGTTTTTGCCCCAAAAAGATTTTGTCAAACATCAAGTAAAAGAGCCTATGTTTTTCCCAGTTTTTCTGGCCTGTAAGCAAAGATGAGAGCTTTCATTTTCCAAACACAAACATATGCAAAGAAAACCTAAGAAAGAAGGGAAGCTTCCAGATTAAATATGATTATTTATGCTTGTCAGCTGCATAAAGACACTTAATAATAAAGAGAAAAATAATTAACTCTATAGTAAAAAAAAAAATCTGTCAGAGAACTCTTTAACGAAGTGAATCATTAATATAAAGTGCACAAGGACAAATTTTTATAATGTGCTGATACACAGAGGACACAACATCACTACTGAAACATTGTCACCACACAGAAACATCAGTTTTATGTAAAGTTCAAGATACAGATATCTTCCATGTTCTGTAACTTTTAATACTGATATTAAGTAGTCTTTCTTTAGTACCCTATACAGCATGTATCTTCTAATTTTTTTTATAACTTTCTGGGTGATAAATGCCATCCTGTTTAAATAAGCATTTTTTTAAATCCTGTTTTGCATAGAGCTAATGGAGAGCACAGATGGAATCTCAACATTACATCTTCTCCATTTTTACCAAGAACCCCCAATTTTTCTCAAGAGAAATCTTGAGTATCCACACTTTCCCACAGTCCACAACCACAAAGAGAACAATTTTAATATTGCAGATTATAAATTCATGGGGAGAATTCTGCATGGCATATAAGAAACCAAGATATACAGAATGTAGAAAAGGCTTTGGTATATAGGAAAGAAATATTTTGCAGAGATCACTGGATATTATATGAATTTTTAAAAGTAGTTAAAACAAACTCATTAGGGAGGAAAAACACAAAAGTAGAGAAGTAAAGATTTGCAAGTACTAAACGCATGGCAGTCCAGGAAGCAAAGTGGACACCGCTCTTTATCTGAGACACGTTTAGCTAAAAGAAAAGCCTTTCTTTCCTCTTTATCTTCCTCCTCTGGATTCCTGCTCAGATGAGATTCTTTGGACAAATTACACCTGCATCTTGAAAATATGCCTTTAAAGGTTTCAGCACCACCTGTTAACCTGCTAGTACCACACCCACAGGCAGAGGGACCAAAACCTGCAGAAAAAGCCCACCCATTTCGGTCCTTTATAACAGAAGGGATTCAGGAACAATGAACTGCTCCATGGGGGCAAAAATAAAAATTCCTCTTTCCAGCCGGGCATGGTGGCTCACACATGTAATCGCAGAACTTCGGGAGGCCGAGGCGGGTGGATCACGAGGTCAAGAGATCGAGACCATCCTGGCCAACATGGTGAAACTCCATCTCTACTAAAAATACAAAAATTGGCTGGGTGTGGTGGCATACCACTGTAGTCCCAGCTACTCAGGAGGCTGAGGCAGGAGAAACAATTGAACCCAGAAGGCAGAGGTTTGCAGTGTGCTGAGATCGCGCCAACACACTCTAGCCTGGTGACACAATGAGACTCCATCTCTAAATTAATAAATAAATTTCTCTTTTTCTGTCCTCAGGTGCCCTCCCTTGCCACAGACACCAACAATTTCTGCTACAGTAATGAAAATATGGGCCACGCTGCCCTGTGCCTACCAAACCCAAACAGAAAAAGGCCCTGTAACCACCCTCTAGTGCAAAGATGAAACTTAACTCTCATGAATGTATCTTGAATCCATCATACCTGATTCTGGCCTCACCTTAGAGTCATATGAGGGACTTCATTAAAACGACATGGATGCTTCCACCCAGAATAAACAAAATCCATGGAAAGGGCACAAGTAAAGAGATTTCTGCCAATTTTTCATGTAATCCTAGTTAGAAATCTGGGCTGAGGACAGACACAGTGGCTCACGCCTGTAATCTCAGCACTTTGGGAGGCCAAGGTGGGAGGATCACGAGGTCAGGAGATCGAGACCATCCTGGTTAACATGGTGAAACGCTGTCTGTACTAAAAATACAAAAATCAGCTGGGCATGGCAGCATGTGCCTGTAATTCCAGCTACTCAGGAGGCCGAGGCAGGAGAATTGCTTCGACTTGGGAGGTGAAGGTTGCAGTGAGCCGAGATCTTGCCACTGCACTCCAGCCTGGAGACAGAGCTAGACTTCATTTCAGAAAACAAAAGAAATAAAGAAATCTGGGCTGATAACCATTTAGCTAAGCATTGCCTCTCAAACTTTAATGAGCTTAAAAACGACTTGGTAATTTTGGCCCCATTCTATGTATTGTAATTCTGATAGTTTTGATGGGGTTTAAAATGGGTGTTTTAAACAAGTTCCCTGTCGGTGATAATGTTGCTTCCCCTGGGTTCATGATTAGCATTAGTTAGAGAAAGCAGGCACAGGACAGAGTCACTTACACTCAGCACTTCTCACAACACAAATACTTCTAGGACAAATGACGACAACTCATTTCCATTCTGAAGGATCATATTCTTCACTGGCTCTTTAAAGTTTACAGAACAAACAACAGTAAAATCTGAAGAAGTCTGCATTTTATAAACATGTGAACGTGTACTAATGCAATAATTACGGAGCACTGTGCTGGGAATAACACACTATTGGATTTAATCCTCATAACACCGAGGGAGCTGGTACTAAGTATTTAATAATTCTCAAAATTTAGATAAAGGGTCCGGCATTTTTATTTCTTCTTCTGTTTGTCATCAATTTCTTTAAAAACTGTATAGAATAAAAGCTAAATATAGACTGATGAGAGGGATAAGGAAAGAATTTAGTGTAGTTTTGAGACATTTTTATTGTTTTATGTTTAATTTTTTGTAACCTGTCTAGCAACTACTGGATCTGAGGAATAGAAAACAAGTTACTAAATGGAATGCCTCTGCAAGCACCAGTTTTAATGGAAAATTTAAAAATTAAGACCCTAAAATACACTTTTTTTCATTTATCTGCTTTTGGGTTTCAAGAAAGCATGAGCACCAGCTCTAGAAAAAAAAAAAAAAAAGAGAATTCACCAGCCAAACCTCTGATCTCTTCTAATCAGTTCTATGAGGCAAGGCTCCAGAGTGGGGACAGATCTAAATAAGGCCTCCAAAAAGGGTGATCTGAACAGAATTAGGGCAGGGAGGGGACCCTATATCAAATTCTGCTCTCTACGCCATTGAAGGTACTTCCAGTTCTGTTTTTCCTAAGCTTACCTAAGAGAAACTTAAATCCCAGAGTTTGTATAATTTTCATAACTGCACCCTCAATTTTATAACATAATAAATTATAAGCAATTTAAACAAATTTCTTACAGATTTCTAGGGTAATTTTATTAGAAGACAAATATGTATTCTTAGCAAGGTAAAAGAAATAGAAATAACAATAAAAAGTCTCCATCTATAAATATCCCTTCAGGTGATGACATCAGAAGTCACAACAATATGAAGAACGTGGCCCCAGAGAAGCCCAAAATCTTTCTGCACACATCTATTCATTCTACCAATTATATAATGCTTAATTCAACCATTTATGCAGTTGCTAGTCTAGACTAAAAGTTCATAAATGGTAGAGACCATGACTGCTTCATCTATTTTTCTAATGGCCATATGAAATGGAAGCAATTAGTGTGTCTGTTTGAGTTCCAGACCTCCTCCTCATTTTTCACCCAAGTACTAGAAAACTGGAGCAACTCCCATCTGGGTGCCAACCAAAGACATCTCTTGTATGAGGGGAGGAACAAACACAGGATGACTCATTTCTCTTACACTGAGACAGAAGCAGAATTAACCAACCACTCTTGTCAGCCTAACACAGTTCTGCTCTGAACATCCTCAAATGTCTCAAAGATGCCTACATGATTGCGAGAGGATTCCCAGTGACTCTGGGCTGATGGCCCAATGATGAGCCAGGAAAGAGAGACTCAGGCTGATTCTAAATAGAAAATGAAACTGCCCTGGACGAGCTCCAGAACCTGAATTACCTGTCGTGATTAGCAAACTCTTAGATAAGAAGAAAGACAAGAATACTCCAGTTTCACATTTATAGGTAGGTATAGTTGTGGTTATGGCTCTGGATACATTGTGGCCTTGATCCCTCACTCCTAAGATACTTGTTTAGACTTACAGATTCTGCCATCAGATTCTATTTACACTAGGAGCCTCTCACATAATAGCAGCAGGTCACTGGACAAGATCTGAAAAGCTCAAAGAGCCACACTTTTAAAGGGCGGAGGGGTTACAAGATGTCTATGTTGACATCTCACCATGCAGAAAATGCCTCCTGTTGTACATTCTGAATTTAAAGCCCATCCCTTTTTTGTAAATCCCAGGCAGAGGCCAGACCTTACTTGCAAATTGTAGGTGGGATCAACCCGGCTCAGCATCCTTGGGTGTTATAGAAAGCAGAGTACAAGGAGAGATCCCCTCACAGATGCTGCTCTAGCACAGTCTAAATGATAAGTCTACCTAAGAGGAAAAAGCTGAGGCAACATGAATATAAGTAAAGAATTTATTTGGGCAAAGCTTGAGGATTATAACCTGGAAGGACACTTTCAAGTTGCCTGGAATCTACACTTTGATTA